TTTTAGGGAAAAGTCTGTAGCTAAAATGATCAATAGAAGTTTTTAAAAGCATTACGTTACTTCCTAATTCTCTTAAACGTCTGGAGATGATCTTGGCACAACTCGGGGGAAGACAATGCCAAGATCAGTGGTACAATGTTGACACGAGATGAAGGAACACGTGGTGGAGTGGGGGGGGGGTTACAAGGACGACGGAAAGAGGATAAGGGGAGAAGAAGGGATGTAAACACTAGGAGGAAGGAAGGAAGGAAGGAAGGAAGGAAGGAAGGAAGGAAGGAAAGTCGTGTTTTCACAGTTAAGTTCATAACCTAACCTAACATGTGCTGGTGGCTCCTGAAGATAGTATGGACGACCTATTACTGTTGTCTCTCCCCCTTCAGCACCTCTACAGGGACCTTGTTAATTAATCTATTTTTTCCTTGGTCTTTTTCCTGTCGTATCTTGTGGAAGTTAACAAAGGTTCTCCCTAACCCACTGTCATTCTGTTCTTTGACCTAATCTAATTCCTAGCTTTGGTTACGTCAAGAATGGTCGTGTAATGCAATTAGTATAAGTTATGACAGGACGAGAGGCCATGATCAGCCCTCAACCACAACACCAGCTGCTGTCAGAGTGAACTAAGCATATAGGAAGTCATACGGTACATGTTTCTAAGTCTTGAGTGAGTCAACATTCCTTTATATGTTGGGACAATGTAAACAGTAGCTCGGCAACACCCATTGAAAAATGACATGATCTCTGCTAAAAAAATGACAATCTCTGTTATCTATACAACGTAAGTTCATCTTTTTCATGAGACTACCGAGTAAAATAAAGGGAGATACGAATCTCTCTGGTAAACAAACAACACAGACACACGACGACGAATTGTTTTTATTTTAACCAGAAATGCGCAACAGGGTAGAGTTAACAGTGTGACGTCACCCTTTACGACAAGTCCAGTCACTAGGGCTCCTGCACCACCACCATCCTCCATTACATTTATTATTATCGTTCTATAGTATGTGATATTTATTACTGTATAGAAGTATCCAAAGTTTGCTTACAACTTAATCTGTCTTCAGGTTAGTTAGTTATTTCACACATTTGTTCAGGGTCGAGATACTATGACAGCGAGCCTCTATAGTTGTTTTTTCTTGCATAATTGTTTTAGTAACATCTTAAACTTGAGTGACTCCCTGCCATCACTGCTGACCCTCGCTGATTCACACCTCACTGCCAGCTGATCGCGAGCACGTGGGTCTTGGCACACGTGGTGGCCAATGTAAACAATGGATTACAGATACACGTTAACGCAGTCTTAAGGGCATCCAGAGCCTACTTTATATCCGTACAGGTTACCACCTTAACCCTCCTGAGAATGTGTACACAACCGCCCATATACAGCTGTGTAATTGACTGGAGCAATGTCAATATACATGGTAATAATGAGACAACTAGACCCCTAACTTGAGGTTCCATCTCTCCACCCGAGGCAACTCCAGCCTTGCATACTAACACCCCGAGCAAAATCAACTCTTCTCCTTAATTTCAATGAGTTTAATTGAACCTTTAGTATGATTCCTACATCCATTAAGCGAGAACAAAGAACTCTCTTGCAAGAATTGAACATACGAGTGCCGTGTGTTTGTCCCCCGCACCACAGTATTTTACTTGACACTAAGCAAACCTGGATGTGTGGTGTGATGTAACTTCTGCAATAATTATGTTTCATTCGATGATCGTGTGTCTTGCACCCTATATAAAGGCTAAAATGTTTTATACATTCATTGATTTTGTTCAATCAATTCGTGAAAAAAAAATCAACCTCAATTGAATCAGAAAGTCAGTTACGTCTCTGACAAACACACGACTGTCAGTTCCCCAGTCTGAACTCTGGTATCTATTTGCGTCACAGACATCTAAAATTATAAGACAACTAGATTACTAGAATACCAAAAAGGCGTTTCCGGGAGTAGCCCGCTCCACGCCCACCACAATCATCCGCTTGGCAAGTCCGTGAAAGACGTTCTTTAAATACTGAGGTCTGAGTCACTTACCCAGTCAATGTCTTCTCTGGGAGGTTTGGGAACAAGACTCACTAGTACATTATTAACTTTACACAGAGTTTCTAGGGTTATTTTTAACTTCGTGTTTCACGTTGTGTTCGGGGGTCTAGGTTCATTTCCTTACTCTAATGTGACGTTGATTTGCAGATGGTTGTGTCTAGTTAGCTAAGCGCAAAGGGGCTGTTGCTTGGTGTACTATATTTTGTCCCCGAACATGTGTACTGTTATACTTCCTGGTCTCAGTCAGGAGATGATAACGTAACTGCGGAGATGTAGTTGACGCGGACACAACCACTGATCAGCTGACAACGTAAACAAAAGGCGAGAAACCGATTTTTCAGTGGAACCAATATTCCTCGACTGTCAATGGATGTTTATTACTATAAACAAGCTGAAACATACATGACTGTGTTTGGGGCTTTGTACAATGGTGTACATACTGTAGATGCACTAAAGAAGACGCACACACGGTGCCAATTGCTAGCTATCGACCACCCAACTGGTTCCACTGGCAACTCCAGTGAGGTTGCAAGATACCACTGCCGTGAGGGAGTATTTACAGTGAAGGACTCCGCGCATCCTTGCCAACACACATTGATTAACCGGAAGTGAAGCTCTGAAAGGTGTTAAGAAATGTGGCCAAGATTTGGTTAAAGATTTAGAGCAATTCGCAGTAGTGATGAAGAAGCCTTAAATAACACAAACTTAAGTGCAGTTAATGTTCAGCAAGAACAAGATAAAGTTCTCACTGTAATGTTATCTCTTATATCAACTCTTTCCACCGAGCATCGCGGGATATCTACTAAGATAATGTATGATGATGAATGGTTTTCGCTGCTGCTGTTTCTCACTGATGATCTCTGACTGATAGAAACACCTGATTCAAAGATGCCTTAACACAGTTGCTGTATGTGTCAGTCAACAACACATTTTATAAGGTTCTACAGCACACCATCTCTGGGAGTGTTATTAAGCCCAGGTATAACACAATAACAAACACGCCTCGCTCTGTGTGGCTCAGTGAAAGACTCAACAAAGACAGACTCAAAAATTACTCTAATAAAAAAATAATGAGACACGTAAATGGTTACAAGACAAATAACGAAACTCTACGACGCAGTTCATGATATTAAACCTTCGTCAGGAGAGTGAGTCATGTATTAACGACTAAACTACAGAAGGTGTCGTTAGTGATGGCTACACCAGCCTCAACTGTCTACACCACAACATCGTCTCCCCGCCACTCCACCACCACCGCCACCACTTCACTTTTAATGAACATCCACACCTTCATATTATATCCACAGTCATTTCCTCACTTACAGTCACATAGTTATACCCACACCACCAGTCACACCCACATCCAAAGATACACCCACACCCACAGTTACACCCACACCCACAGTCACACCTACACCCGCAGTTACACTCACACTCACACCTACATCCACAGTCACACCCACAGTCACACCTACATCTAAAGTCACACCCACACCCACGGTTACACCCACACCCAGTCACACCCACAGTCACACCAACAGTTACACTCACACCCAGTCACACCCACAGTCACACCCACACCCACAGTCACACCCACACCCTCTCAAAGAAGCAACATGTTGGCCTAATGGGTCACATCTTCCTCATATGTCACGTTTCCGGCAAACATGTCACTTTTGGCCCCCGTGTTTACTGATGGCGAGGCTGGAGGTGGTGGCAGCGTCCCCAGCACCGTCACAGTAGAACAGATGCTTCACAAAATATAATATGTGTGGCTGTTATGCATCAAAAGATCCTAATTTAAATGGATATAAAGAATATAATTAATATATAATAAAAATATGCAGTTTGCGACATCTTGTCCAGTTTTTATTCGCGTTTCAGCAGATGTTAACACGTGTACCAACAGCGGCTCTCGGTATGGGTAACTAGTAATCCATTTCAGTTCCCATTCACCGCAACACGTCTACTACCACACTGCTGAGGGTGCTCACCACCATACGATGTCTGTTGCAGGTGTACGATACACCGCGTGTCTTATCTCCAGTACAGTATACAGTAGGTATACCTCTACCGTTCACCCATTACAGGAGAACCAACCATTCTCCTCCACTATACTCACGGGTCAGTTCTTCTACATCACCAAATCTTATACATTCAGTTTCATGTTTTGTCCAAACCTAAAGTAACAGTTGCAACATCAGTGTACTTACCCAGCAGTGGTGGGCGGACAACAGGTGAGGTGCACAGATCTGCTCAGGTGTAGTGTGGCCGTATTCAAATGTAATTTCTAGACGGCGGAGGTCGGTGCTTGAGGCTGACGGTATGGCGCGAGCGTTTAATGGTCGACGCTGATGACTGAATTGACTGTTCGGGAAATATTGATGACACTCGTCTCTTATACAGTCTTGTATCTTAGATAACCTAAAACTCGTTGCCACACAGTCAGTCACTGAGTCCTTAGCTCAACATGGGTAGGAAACCTTCACCAAGGTAGTGTCCACGCTCTAAACTGCCACTGATCAACCGACTGGACACACTGACTCTTACTAACCTCACAACAGCTTCGCCAGTCTTCATCCTGACTTTGACTTCTGCTTCAATCAACAAAAGAACGTAGATTCACCTAGACACGTCATCACGCATCACTAAAGTCCTGACAAGAATCGGAGGAATTGACATTTTGTGTTAATTCATCTATAATCTTTGTGACCCTTGTTCATTACCGTGTTTGAACAGTCTGTGGCTTAAGTCATTACCTGCTGTCCGGGAGCAACAGAGTTTGCTAGCTTAACTTTCTGGTTCGCGCCTTGAGTACCCACAGTCGACCCAGCTGTGAGTACGCATCGAAATTAAGAGTTAGGGAAGTAAACTTGTCTGCTTCATAAATTTACGTCATACAAAGAATAATTGGGAAAACATGAATGAGTAAGAAATGACTGCCATTTTTTTTTGTCTTTTAATACAAATAATAAAATGTAAACTAAGTTAGAGAGGTGAGGCTGAACCACAGCAACACCACCTGGCTGTTAAAGTACTCGCTGATTCATCTTCTGACGATGTAGCGTCCACCTGATGGTCCTTCACTGAGGTCCTGCGGCCTCTCATGCTTACACTAATTTTCACAAGAGGACGGAGATACAAGTCTTGTTGAGAGGATGTGAGTATTGTATTAACTTGATACGAGGAACAACTCACCATCTAGTGTGACATCGCGGGGTTCCTACCTTAGGTGAGGACTATGGCATCGGAGGAACTCTGAAGTGTGAGTCGTCAGCAGGACAGCAGACACCGGAACTTAAACTCACGTCGAAAGATGATCACCTCGACGATCACGTCAGCAACCAAGCCAGGGGACCCATCCACCACTGACCCAAGACCCGCTTAACACATCTCTTCGTACCAGGTGGGGTCGAGGTCCACCAGAGGTTCCCCGTCAGAGCAGGTCGTCCGGTCATCAATGTGGGAGAGGAAGTTGTTGTTCAATACGACCCAGGCGATGTCACAGCCACACGTGAGAGGGTTATCTGAAGGTAGATGGTGACTGTTAGATGAGGAAGACAGAGGTACCAGAGGAAGACAATGGTATAAGGGGGTCGACTGTGTCACTGAGGTCACCAGGGAGGGACCTGTGTTGAAGACAAGTTCTTAGTTTAGCTTTGTGATGGACACGGGGAGGCGCGTGTCACAGCTTGTGCTCTGTACGGCTGTGTAACAGACAAGTTCACTTCAACAGAGTCTAGTCAACTGATCTTGAATTATTACCAAGTACACGTGAATGTCTGGTATACGTACAGTACATATGTTTGTCTGGTGTGCACATGAGTATTTGGTTTACACATGATTTTTTGGGATAGACATGAGTGCTTAGTGCACACATGAGTGTCTGGTGTACACATGGGTGTTTAGTGTACACATGAGTATCTGGTGTACACACGGGTGTCTGGTGTACACATGGGTGTAGAGAGACAGTAAAACAGGCCACTCACCCCTCAGCTTGAGTCTCACACCGTTGAGGAGCAGCGGCCGCCACACCTCCTCCTCCACCTCCGCCAGTTGGTTGTAAGACAAGTCAATGGTGTCACCAGAGAAGAAACCTGTGGAGTCAACAAGTTATTGTGTCACTCTTGACTCCCTTACCTGTGCGTACCTGTGTGTGGGGGGGCGGGGGGTTGCACAGTATTATGGGCAGCAGTTCCCTACACACGTAACTTTAACTTACGTTCACTTTGATGATATAAAATAAAGGTTTTAAACAGTAAAAAATAGAGTTATTCAAGTTCCTTTAGTTTCCACTCCAACTTGAGTTATCTTTTAATTTCCTAACCCTTCATATTTTTATCAGTTCTTCTTTGTTCGTCGTTTCTGTAGCCAAATTCTCTAATATTTCTTCAAGCTGTTCATCTGTAGCTTTCACAGTGTTTAAGACAGTACCAAGATGGACCAGAGTTCACATTATCCAGGAGAGAAGGACAAGTGTTCCGTCGACTGGGTGGCTGACACAACAGAGACGAACATGACAAGCTCCAAACTGTGACAAAATTTACGGTACCGATGACTTTAGCCAGGTCAGTCTTTATCGTTGCACACATAATCATAAAGTATCGAGTGATGATGACACAATAAACTTCAGAAGATGTTTTAGAGCGAGAACCAGATGTAGAAGAGAATGATCTTGTCTTCATCAACAACGTAAAAAGTTTGATAAAATCCAACATGAGAAACTCGTTGATTTACTAGACAATCAATAATGATGGAACGAACCTAAGTGTCACTAATAATTTAATTTGGCAACAAGCTGCAGCTGTATGACTGGCCAAAAATCAGAAAAATGGAACTCGACTCCCCTACTGAGTGGATCATACTTAGTGCGACGTAGATTACAATAGGGTGAATGAACATAAGAGAGTGAAAAATGGGTATTATTCAGACAAGCAGGAAGTTGTTCTGGTACAACTCACCAGAGTCCCATGTTGGAGCTTCGAGGATTTACATCATGCAAAGTTTAAGTTAATGCTGAAGAACTAGATTAAATGTTTCCCACCTGAGAAGGCGTAGACGTCCACTCTGGTGATGTTGTTGAACCGTAGATAAACTCCGTGTGGTGAGCTGCTGTTGAACCACACAGCTCCCTCGGGCACCTCAGTCAGATGATTGTCTTCAAGAACAACCATCCAGAGTTCGGGGAGGCCGAAGAAGGTGCCTATGGAATGGTGGTAACAAATAAAGGGTGATTCAAAAGCCCTGTTACCCAGATGACATATTACATTTATTAGATATAAATTAAAGATGTGTGTTCGCCGCGTCCGTCCCATTACCAAAGACTGGAGAAATTTGAAACAGGATTATCTGAAGTGACTGACGTTATACAGCATAGAAAAACACAAAACGTATCTTTGAAATTATCCAAGAAGTTACTCCAGCATTAAAAAAGAAGAAGAGATGCTAAAGGCAGTTTTCCATAAGATATTGAAATGAAACTCAGAAAAAGTCCCAAGGAATACCTGGGATTATATCTTGTAGTCCAGTGCCGTCGAAGTATACCTCCTCCAGTGCTGGCGTGTCGCTGAGGGCTGGGAGAGGCACCAGCTCCAGAGGATTGTGGCCCAGGTTGAGGTACCTGAGGCTGCCCGATGATATAACTGGAAAGTTTGTTATTCTGTTGCTCTTGAAGGACAGCATCTGGAGGTTTGTAAATGACGATATTTCCTTCCAACAGAAATGATCAATTCTGTTATTATCAAACCACATACTAGTGACTGTGGAGTAGCTGGCAGACAGAGCGCCATCTTTCACCACTTCCAGTAGACCGTTAACTATCCAGAACTGCTGGAAGGTGATGTTGGCCAGCGTCTCAGCCCTTAACACCCTCACATTATTATTATTGTTTATAATCAGTTTGTGGAAGTTTGGGGAGGGGAAGTAGGTCCTCATGATCGCGGACAGCTCCTCCTCGCTCCTCACCTCGCTACAGTCCAGGTCCATGATGTTATGATTATAGTCGACGGTGCAGAAACAAGGGAAGATGGCCGCCGAGTTGGGACACATCACATCACTTGGGGTAGTGTTATAACTCGCGGTCATCTGTGTGTCGCCAACGTCCACAGGTTGGTTGTCGACGTGTCCTGCTGCTGTAGAGACAAGAGGTGCGTCGACAATAGTTCCTGCTGTGTTGTCGTCCACACAGCTCGTCACCAGCAGCAGTATACAGGGGAAGTTACGGAAAAGTCTCATGTTAGGGCGGAATGTGTTGACACCGTGATGATTATTGAGGACACGCTGATAACGTTTGTCTCGTGCACCTATTATATGATGTGTGTGTGT